ATATATATATGTATATATATATATATTGTAACAAGAGTATATTTATTTTTGCTGAAAATAAATTTGTTTTTTTTTTTACTTTCAATTTTTAAGCATGGGTTAAATATAAAACGATCAGCCCAACATTTTCCTTCCTTCTGCATACTTGGTTAGTCCCACCCTCAAAGAGGTCAAATAAGATCTCTTCTCCTAATTTTCTATTTGTTGGCTATAATTTTTTTATTTAAGAACTAACACATTATTCAGTTTTAAATTTTTAAACTCACTAGTCACACTTCTTTACCATCTATTTAAAGTCGACTCAAACTGTAAAATATTGAATAGTTGTACTGCATATTGATTTGCCTACGTTGTATGTTGCGCTTGGTGAACGTATAACGTAATAATTTAAAGATGATAAAGGTCTAGCGAATCAACTGCATCTTATTAAAGCCACTAATTAATTTTATTAATTTTATTTTCTACATTCCAATTGCGTATTTGGATTTTTCAAGAATTGTTTTCTTTCTTATTAAGGCATGTGATTTTTTCTATATTAGCTATCTTATTTTATTCATATTACTTTATTTCCTTTAAATACTATTTTTCAAATTAATTTTTTTAATTTCAATTTAAATTAAAGATAGTATCATTAATTTGATGGTTTCATAGAACCATTCACCTTGATCATCACGTAAAACACCTCCATTCATAAAAATTAAATTAGAGTTAGAATGAGTTTTTATCTCTCAAATTTTAATCAAGTAATTTTAGTACCTCGAGTATTGTTGTGTAATTTTAGTTTTCAATTTTTTAAAATAATTTTAGTTCTAAAATATCACAATTGTGTGATTTTAATTTTTTAAGTATTACAATTATACAAATTTTTACCTATATAAGTTACATATATTAATAATTTTAGTAATAATAAATATATATCATTTAATACATAATAAAAATTATAATAAATGAACTTAAATAAATCAAGAATTGTATAATTGTGATACTTAAAGAACTAAAATCATATATTTGCGATATTTAATAAAATAAAATTGTTTAATTAAAATTTAGGAGACTAAAATTGCATAATTTTAATACTTGAAAGATTAAAAATTTTCAATTATAATTTTAGGAACCAGAATCGTATAATTATATATACTACATAGATTAAAAATTCAATTAAACCTAAAAATTATATTCAACTTAAATTTGATCTTAATAAATATATAAATAATTTGTTTTTTAAGGATGGAAATAATATATATTAATCTGTATTATTAATAAATGTGTTACACATTTTTAGTATACACATTCTGTTCACAATTTTTAAAATTCTTAAACCCTAAATGTGTTCCTGAATTTTTAAAATTCTCTCTCATACTTCTTATTTTTTATTTTTATTTTTGTAAATTTATTTTTTAAACATTTCACCTTTTAAGTAATTATTAAAAAAATACTCATACATAATTGTTAACTACTTACTCATCTAATTATTTTAAATTTTTTTACATAAATATTAAAAATAAAAAAAAAGACACGAAAGATCTTTTTCAATCTAGGTTAAATAACTTGTTTTTCTGTAATTTTTCCCTTGTTTCAAAATTTTAACCTCTTCAGTTTCCTTCTCATCTAGTAAAATCTAGCATTTGTTATTTTTAAATTTTATTTAAATGTACTGCTACACTAGTGAGTGACTTAGTCTTGTTTTTATTTTGTCAGCAGATACAATCGCACTTGTTTTTATTCCTTCTGTATCATTTTACCGAGTTTGCTTTGTGGCAGCTTTCACTGTGTTTCACCAGAGCCACCGGACAATTTAAATTCGAAGAAAGTATATTTATACCATTTCGTTGCAGATAAATTATACTAAAAAAGTAGATTAGGCATAAAAAAATAAAAATAATTAACGGTACAGAAATATTGCAAAGTGTGTCATACTCATATAAATAATAAATAGTAGAATAAATGACATAAAAAAGTGTGGTTAGAAAAAATTCTCAACAAGTATTTATAGGAGAGTAAAATAAAATTATATTAAATCTTTTAATATATATTAGTTTAATTAAGTAGTATTATCCAATATCCATACTAGAGGGAACATGAAGCAGAAGGAAACAAGGGAAACGTGTTATTGAATTGTTATTTGCAATGTGTGGAATTGAAAGGGCCATTCCTTTACACCAGGGATCAATCGGTGGAGCGCAATCACCGGCAGCATGAGTTGAGTCGGCACTTGGCAACTCCACGCATTACACATCTTTTTTTGGTTTTTCTCTTCTCTTTTTGTTATTAGAATAGTCACCCAGAACAGAAATGCCAAAACCCAAGCAACCAGAATCAAACAACTTCATACACACTTGGATTCATACTAGACAATATATTACACTCTCAACAACCCCATTATTAGGCAAAGGAAATCAAACTTCAAATTAAACCCAAACAAAACTTCATAGCGGAATTCCGAATTCCTCCACCAAATAAATAATACGCAGAAAAATTAAACTATTTAAACAAAATATATTAAATATAAACTAGCTTTTTCTTTTTCTTTTTTTCTTTTTTCTTTTTTTGCTACCCGCAAAAAAAAAAAAGTCTTGAGTTTCACTTTCACTTTCACTTTGGGTTTGGGTTTGAGTTTGAGATTGAGTCAGAGAAGCACGAGAGGTTCGGAGGCTAACAAAATGTCTTGAAAATAATCGTCCACTTGGCACAACGTGGAAGACGCCGAGAATTTCTCTTGGAAATCGATAACGCCGTCGCCAACCAAAACCGGCGTCGTTTCGAAGTGGGAGAGAGGCTCGTCGAGAGCCGGAAACTGAAAAACATCGTCCCACGGCATCATGTCCTGCACCAAATACTCGCAACTCTCGTGAAACGACGCCGTCTCGCCGCCACACTCAGAAAAACTCGCACCGGCGCACGGCTCCTCCGGTTTCTTCTCCTCGCCGTACCGCAGCACCGAAGTGGGCGACGAAATGTGCATACACTCGTCGCTCGACTCGTAACCGGAAGCCTCGGTCTCCCGCTTCACCACCACCTGCATCCTCGGTTTCTTCCCCGCACGTGTTTGCGTTTGCGTTTGAGATTGTGATTGTGATTGCGACGGTGACTGTGACTGTGACTGCGATTGTGGTTTTGCGTTTTCCCACTCTTCCTTCGTCGGCGTCGAGAGGAAATTGGTCAACGCGTCGGGTCCGCGGAGGCGAATGGCGGCGTGGTCGTAGACCAACGCCGCTTCCTCGGCGGTGTCGTAGGTTCCCAGCCAGATTCTGACGCGGCGCAAGGGATCTCGAATCTCCGCCGCCCATTTCCCCCAGGGCCGCTGCCGCACGCCGCGGTACTTAACGCCGGAGGCGGAGACCTTGGGCGGCGGGCGGCAGGAGGTGGTGCCAACGGCGGGTCTCTTTCTGGGGTTAGCCGCCCTGCACGGCGGCTGGAGTTCGATTCTGCTGACGTAACGCTTGACACGCTGACGTGGGCGGTGGGTGTCCTCATCGCTGGAGGAGTCCGTGGCGTAGGGATCGGTTAGGGATATGGAAATGAGTTTGGGCCCAACCGATGTGGAAGCGGTTTTGGATTTGGTGTGTTTTTTGAGGATGCTTTCGTGAACGGTGTATTTGCATAGGTTAAGGTTGCTGTTGTTGTTGTGTTCCATGGTTGGGTGTTGTGTGAGGAGGAAGAGTGAAGAGTGAAGAGTGGGGAAAGGTGTTAAAATGTGGAATTGGAATTGGGAGAGAAAGATGGGAATAAAGAGGAAAGGGGTTTAAAGGGCATCATCTCTCGTGCAATGAATTTTTTGGGTTTCAGTAACTATGGCTGGAGGAGACTTTCGTTGAAACTTCTTTTTGGTGAAAAGGGAAAATCTTTGGATTCAAAAGATGGGGGAAGAGAAGAGATGCAGATTCTGTGAGTGAGTGAGAGAGTGAGAGAGTGAGTGAGTGAGTGAGTGAGTGAGTGAGTGAATGAATGAGTGTGTGAGCGGGTCTTTTCAAGTGTGTGGCGTGGCGTTTTGAGAAGAAAGTGACGAAGTATCAGTAGAGTTGAATGGCTAAAATAGCTTCAAGCTACGAAACAATATTTTCAGTTGCTGCTTCTCAAGACCCAAACACCCAAATCGCACTTTTACAGGATCAACCAGCCGAAATCGGTAAGCTACCCAGATATTATTATTTTCCTTTCGCTATTTTAAATATAAAATATTTTCCTTCCTTTTATTTTTTTATTTTTTTCACAATTTCTTTAACCACTTTGTTATTTTTCTAACATTTTTCCTTACGCCCTGTTTTGTTACGCGTTCAAAAATATGTAAATGAAATTAATGGGAGTAATTTCGCTACCTTTGATGTGAATTTAATTTGAGAATGTGAGTTATTCGTGAAAATCCAATTGCATTACATTACAAGCCGCATAGTTGAGATTTTGCAGTGATTTAATTTGAGTCATGAAAAAAAATCTAGAGTAACAAGTGAAAAAAAATAAATAAATAAAATCAACGGGTGTGAGTGATGTGTGCGTTAAATCTCGAACATTGCGATAGGTTTCACGTGAGCCCAAGATACTCGGCTTATTAGCAATAAGTCAGTCAAATTTGTTTTGACTAATCAAAGTATCTTTTCCTCTGATTGATATTTGTCCCTAATGGTTAGGGTTCAAAATTAATATTAGAGAAATAGTGAGATGAAGTGAAAATGTTTGTGAGGGTAATTGAGTAAAATGGGAGCATAGAGTCTGAATTGGAAAATTTCCATTGTGTGCTGGCCAATGACAACCGTGGGGCTCCAAATCTCTTCCACATGTGTGTGGGTCAATAATTTTTTTTTTTTTTTTATGAGTTAAAAGGGTTCTAATCTTTATGATTTTGTTTTGCTTTTGAAAATGGTTTTTATGATTAACTTTTTACAGCTTGAGATACAAGAACAAGAAGAACACAACGTGGTGGACAACCTAGAATTCGCCGCCATTTACAATTCTGTTCTAAGACTACGTCTCTGGGTTCTTTCTGTTTCACTGTTACTACAATCGAGGCTGAATCTACACGCGTTAGACCCAAGTGTGCAACACACACACACCCTCTGCTCTAAACTGAAAACTCTCTTGCAAATTATGGAAATATTAATGAATAGTTAATGATAATAAATTATGTTTTTCTCACTAGTAAATTTTACATTCACGGAGTAATACCAATTAAATATATATGGGTTGTTTACTTCAGGTAATATTTTGAAATTAATTTGTATTTAATTTGTTTGTTTCGGTTATAAACCTATAATGTTTTACCTTACTAATTAATAAAGGCACGTAATAGGAGAGATTAAGTATTTGGATGACAAAGTGAGTCTATAATAGCATGTCAAATCCGTCCTAGTTCCTCCATGTTATGTTGGGTTGTCCTACGAGTTAGTATTTCTTCTATTCCTTTTTAATAATTATTTAAGGTTGTTATATATAAATTAAAAAATGTAATAAAATTTTTGGTTTTTCATAAAATAATTTTTATCTTTTGTATTATACCTTTTTAATTTTTCTTTGTAAAATATGTATATTAAATGTCAATATATAAGTTAATAGAAAATGCTAATTAGTGGCCTACTAAGTGCACTAGCTAAAAAATCAAAGTAGAAAGTTTTTTTTTATTGTAAAGTGTATTTACACAATTTGTTTTTGAAACTTTTTACGGTGTATTACACCTTTTTACATATTTGCACACAAGCCATAGAAAAAGTAATTAATATTGTCTTTGAATTTAGAAATGACATAAAAATAGAAATAAAATTTTCTTAAAAAAACCAACAATTAAAAAGGAACATTGGGAGCATATATGAATGTAATTTATTTAAAGTTTGAGTGTTACAATTTAATATAAATTAACCATTATCAAAATCAGGACGTGGCAAAACGAGTGAGGCCACTGACTTACGTCCCTTCAAAAAAAAATTTACATATTATTTAAAAAATTTATTTTAATTTAAGTTATTAAATGATATTTTTATATATTAAATTTATTTATTTTTTATACTTAACTTATTTTAACAAATATCAAAATATGGAATCAATTTAATTTTTTTTTACATCAATCTCAATAAATTAATATTTTTTTAAAAATGTTATATTAATTTAAAATAAATTTAAATCTTAATGAACATTAATTTAATATTAGTGTTATTGACTTGTTTTATAAATTTAAAATATTAAAATAAATATTAACATAATAAATTAGTGTCTTATTTAAAATATTAAATAATATTAAAATTATTTTTGTACATGAATGCAACTTTTATAAAATACTATTAAAGTATTTGAAATTAGAGTCATTGTCAAAATATTTTTTAAAAATATTTTTTCTAAAATTTAATTGAGATAAATTATATATCTTATAGTATAATGATTGAATGAGTTATCGTTATTAAATTTTAAATAATAGATTTTTATTATTCAGAAAGTTAGAAGAAAAAAAATGATGAATTCTATTAGAGGATGATCATAACATAACTAATAAAGTGTGATATGATTTATAAACAACTTTATTTCTTAAGCATATGATTAGAAATTCGATCTAAAAAAATATTTGTTGAGAAAGATTAATTTCTTAAATGAATTTTAGTACCTTGGAGGATTAGTCTTTAACTTTTAACTAAGACATGTCTTAGTTTTCTAAAAAAGAATATGACTCATAAAATTCGTTTAATTAAGGCCTCAAATTTTCTAGATACAACCCTGATCCTATTTAGATTTTTTTTGTCTTAATTATAAGCAAAAATCATTAGTTTTTAAAATTACTCAATTGTAGAACCACCAAAATTGAGAGATTAAGGTAGAATGCACATGGTCTTATATTCAAATCTGGTGTTATTATTGATAAAAGAAATTACTCAATGACAAAATTCATTTATACTCTTCTTTATTTTCTATGTATTCACTTACGACTAGTATTAAATATAATAATCACTTAAACAAATGATATCTTTAGTATAAAATTAAATTTATAGAAGAATTGATTTAAAATTAACTTAATTACTTTTTTCTTTATTATAATGATTTGTCCTATTTAGGGATGGCAATGAGCCCCATGAGAGCGGGTAATAGTAAATCCGCCCCTGTCCCGCTAGATGAAGATTGTCCCTATACTCACTCCATATCCGCGCGGGTGTCCATTGAGCGGGTATCCATGAATTTCTTGAATACCCACGGATATCCATGGATATTTATAAATTTTTTAAGAAATTAAAAAAAATTATATTACAAATAATTTTAAGTCTATATTTAATATCATTGAAATATTAAAAATAAAAATTCAATATTAATTTTGAACTTGTATTTAACGTTAATTTTGTTGAAATAATAATAAAAATGTAAGATAATCAATGACTTAAAATATATCAATCTCACAAGTAAGTTAAAGTCTCATCACCAAGCTACAATAATTCAATCTCATAATTCCAAACGAAAGAACAATTTAAAATACATAAATTTTATTGGTCCAATCAAAGCTAGAAAATTAATCAAATTATATCCAACATAATTCTATAACATGCTTAATACATGTTGGTAACTTCATCAACCTTACTTTTGTAAGAAAATAAGACGAGAGAGTGTAGTTTTAGGGTTATGTGGTACAAGAATAATTAGGATATTTAAGAAATATTATTAAACGGGTACCTGCGGGTATGGATATCATCATACCCGCCCCTCCCCATTTATAAACGGATAAAAAATTATCCGTCCCCATTATCTGCGGGTACCCAATTAGTCTATCCATTTATTATCCGTAACGGATTTTACCCGTAGATATTCGCAGGTGCGGGTATTTTTGCCATCCCTAGTCCTATTTTACTTGTGAGACCCCGTAGCATTCTTCTCTCTTTTCTCCCTCTCATCACTCACCTTATACTTTCCCTTCTCCTTTCACTTTGAATTTTCACTCTCAAATTCCTTTCTCTTTAGCTGAAGCCGTGAGCACCTAGGAGGTCTCTAGAGTGAAGCCATGCGGAGCTAGCCGAATGTGGATTTCTTTTCTCCTTCTTCTTCCTTTCTCTTCCCGGAGCTCGGAATCGTCTCACTAAGGTAAGGGAAGCTAGTTTTCGCTTGGATTGGTTGGAAATGAGTTTAGAAACTCATGAGATGTTTGATGTTGGCTGATTCATGGGCTGTCTTGAAGGAAAATAGCTTGGGATTAATATGGATTGGTGAATCATTTAATAAAATTGCTCGTTTGACGAGGTCTCAGTTTGAGAATAAGTCATTCTAGCAATCCACATTTTTAAAACAAATAGACGAGTCCAACCATCCTTCGCGAATGCCGAAAGCCCGTTTCGGGCCGGTGGCGACAGGAAGACTTTCCAAAAAGGTGAAATCAGAAGACTCCTCGGGTGTAAGGAAAAAAGGAGGAAGAACGTCATATCAGACAGGAGTTTGGGTCCAATAAAAAGGAAACAAGAGAGTATTATGACTATCAAAAAAGTAAGACCGACCACTCGGATGTATACATAACTTGAAAAATCCTACTTTAAACTTTTTATAAGAAGAAGTGAAAGGTTTTAAGAGTTTCCGAGAAGGCACTCGGGCTAAAGAGACCCACTTAACTTGTTCGGTCAGACGACAATAATAGTAAAAAAGGAACAAACTAGAAGTGGCTTTCACATGGGTAAATCTACAAAGGCTCCAAAAGGCTTGCATGGCCGCCCAACTATTCGGATCATATAGAAAAAGGAAGAACGATACCAAGGTCTCGAAATAAATAATCATATAGAAAAATTGCTTCGGATCTGAATAAGGTTGACACACAAAAATATAATCAGGGTTGGAGGAAGCATCAATTTTACAAGTTCTAACATAAATGGGATAGGGCTCCTCCTCGGTAAGAAAGGAAGAAATCTCAACAAGGCCTACAAAAGTTTCCAAAATCCTAGGATCGCTAAACCTAGAATTATATGTGGCTACCTC